AAGGGACTTGGGGCTTGCCCACCCTATCCAATCCAATCCTCAGTTAACAAAAATAATTGGGATTGGAATTGGCATCATTGGGCAATGTGGTCCTAAAGCATGACATCATGTGACTGCTGCTCTTAGCAATGGAAATCCTGGCACTCCCCATTGCCATCATTAAGCAAGGGGTGCAGGTCGTTAAGTGAGTCCTGGGTGGCTTGCAAGCAGGCTGGCAGACAGATAAGGTGTGAGGTGCACTGCAAGCATGGCAGGGCCAGAGGTAGCTGCTGCTGGGTGGGGGAGGGGTGTGAGTGACTTGCCAGAGTACTTGTGACCTTCCCTGCTGGCTTTCCCATTTACTTTGTGGGTAAGGAAGGTTGCAAATGGTGATCACACAACCATTTTCATCAGTGGAAGGCAGTTGCCAAGGACCCAGATTGCAAATGTATGACTATGGGATGCTGGGATGTCCGGAACCTCTAGGACTGGCTGTTAAGTGCCACTTGTTCAATGCCGTCATAACTTCGAATGGTTGCTGAAGTAGTCATTAAACAAGGACTATTGTAACGATATGCAGAAGGAAACGTTTGTTTATTTATACAGTTGTTCTCACAACTCTGGATGGCTAATAGAATATTACAAATCAATACGAACATCCAAAAAGAACAATTAAAATAATCACAAGAACAGAATTGTCAAAACATTATGCAATATACAGTACAACATGCCAAAGCCCAATAAAAACAAAATTTCTCACTCGACCTCACCTAACATCTTAGCCCCAGTGCCTGAAGTAAAACTGGGTTTTAAGTTTTTCCCATAGATTGACAAGGTCTGGGCCATCCAAATCTTGGGAGCAATGCTATCCAGAATGCAGGGACCATGATAGAGAAGGGACGTCTTCTGGATCTCCTTAAATGATACTGCTTCCTAGAAAGGACTTGCAGCAGTCCATTCTGCTGGACCTAGTAAGATGAGCAAACATAATCAGAGAAAGGGGATCCCTCAAATAATGCAGTCCTGTCCCCTGTAGGGTTTTAATGGAGACTTTCAAGATATTGTATATATGCAGTTCCCGTCCTTTCTTCCAGTTATTTGACTGAATTATATGCTGCCATAAACAGGCTTTCATTTCATAGAAATTTCTTACTACTGTAATAGAGACTTTTAAAGAGGTCAAAGTGAAAGTAGTAAAAAAAAAGACTACAGCTCAACTCAGAGGGATTTTTACATTTTCTTCTTTTTCTTTAAGATCTCAAGGAGAAGGATAAATTAAAAATAGCTATGGAGCCACATCAATCAGTGAGTAAACCTTCAGGATGAGTCTAACACTTTATTCATTGCAAAATCCTTAGGGCAATCTTCTTTAGATTTAGGTGCTGGGATGTGATAGATCAGAGAGGCAGATTTAGTAACTGTTTATTCATATGTTAGCTGTTAAGGCAAATTGAAATGATAAAAAGGCGTATGATAGCACCGACCACTCTTAACTGGAACGCTTTTAAACTGTTTTCCTTCTTTCTCTTCTCACGTTTTAATTGAAATCTACAGCTGTATACCTCATCCTTTTAGAACAGGATTAAAATAAACACAAAAAGGGAGTCTGTATTGTTTTCGTAATGGTTTTATTCATTCATAATTTATTTGGAAAGCCTGGATCATTCTGATCAGAGATCAATGTAATACGCTTATGTTAAAATGCTGTTTGGCAGCTTTTCAGTCTCAATACCCAACTAGAACATTCTTTCTCATCTAATACTTTCTCTTCAATTAATTTTCTTTACCCACAAATTCAAAATATACATTTGGGTAGGGTTTACAATGAAATGCCCCAGTATAGATTGGTCCTATTCACTATTGCATTCATTCAATTACAGTATGCCCTCCTCTATTACACTCCATTCAGTACCTTATCTGCCTCTCTCTTCCCAGCGTTCTGTTGTCACTGTCACTCATTCCTTAATGGGCAATTCTAAAGACTCCCTATTTAAAATAATAATAGTTCTGCAAACTTTGGAGAAATCCTGCTGATAATACATGAAGGTGTCATTTAAAATATAGAAAACATCAACATTCAAGTTGGAACACAAGATCAGGAAATAGAAATAGCAAAACTTTAAATATTATTCAAAGTTACATTTCTGATGTAAAGGTTTAAAAATATATAGGCCAGTGGTTCTCAACCTTTTTAATGCCGCGACCCCAACCGGTCGTAAGTCGAGGACTAAACCGGTCGTAAGTTGAGAACTAAACCGGTCGTAAGTCGAGGACTAAACCTGTCGTAAATCGAGGACTACCCAACTGGTCGTAAGTCGAGGACTTTCCCTGCTTGGAAGCGCCGCGCATGCGCGGTTCCGCTCCCTGCGCCGGCCGAGGCGTAGCTGGCAAGCGACAGAGACGGAGCAGGCCGACCACCAGCTGGCCCAGCTCAAGGGATGTAAGGCACCCGCTGGAAAAGGGGAAAAAAATGGCAGACAAAAAAAATGGCGGACAAAAAAAATGGCGGACAGCCTTGCTTGGCGACCCCCATGCAATGGTCGATCGACCCCAAATGGGGTCCCGACCCACAGGTTGAGAACCACTGATATAGGCTTACTCGGACAAGTTATGTACATCTCGTTTAGAGAGAACTATCAATTAATAGCAATTTGACTTCCAAAACTAAAGCTTCTGAAGGGAACCAGTCCTCTTTAAGGAACTATAGAACCCTGGTGGTGCAGTGGTTAGAATGCGGTACTGCAGACTACTTCTGCTGACCGCCAGCAGTTCGGCAGTTCGATTCTCACTGGCTCAAGGTTGACTCTGCCTTTCATCCTTCTGAGGTCGGTAAAATGAGGACCCAGATTCTTGGGGGCAATATGGTGACTGTGTAAACCGCTTAGAGAGGGGCTGTAAAGCACTGTGAAGCGGTATATAAGTCTAACTGCTATTGCTATAGTAGAAATCTCAGAAGAAAAGCACTTTGGAGTACATCCCTTTTTCATATGTGCACATTTTGTTCTTTGATTACCAATGGCTTATGGATTAATATAAACTTATTTCTTATGCTTTTGTTTTGTACAAACTATTTTAGTATAGCCTGATTTATCTTAAATCCTTAATCTCAAAGTTAGCCATCTGGTGTAGGGAGATAGACTGAAATGATCAGGTGTATCTTCTTTATTCATTATCTCTTTATTTGTGAAATGTCTTTGACATAAACTTTATGCCAATGTCTGGGAAAATACAGCTCTCTGCTCTCTTTCTCTCTCATTTTCTCAAATTAAGAGAAGTGATTAATTAAGAGGTACATGTTCTCTAAATCACACCTAAATCTGAACTTCCATGGGATCCTGGGAAAGTCAGTTTTGGGGTTTATCTGCTATAATCTCTGAAAGGGCTTAAAGTACTTATATTTCATATGCTTCCAATATATAATTTAGTGTTACCCACTTGAATATTATTGTATCCAATCTTCCTACCTGCCGCCTCAAAGCAAAACAGAAACAATAAGAAAAATGTAATGCATACTAAGCTTTGTAACCCTCCTCTCTCTCCTAAAATGCATTCTGTCTCCCATATCACTATTATGATTTGAGAAATATTCTGATATTCAGGAACAAAGTATTTAAATCTAAAGGAAGGAATTATTAGTAGCACAAATAAAAATGAAAAACCTAAGGCATAAAAGGCCACTAGGAAATAAATGAACAAATATAAAATTTACATGGATTATTGTTTGTATGTTGACCTTGCCATACTAAAAATCATGGATTAATTGTGCCCAAACACCATGGAATTTCTCTGGTTTTGCAATAAGGAATTGCAAAACCAGAGAAAGGACAGCATCCCCTGGGTCTGAAAATCTGAAATCAGATGATATAGTTAAGGCAGCACCATGATTCAGACAGCAACAACATCTCACTTAGCATAGAAACATGATTCTAGAATGCTAGTTTGCTTCTCCAGGGACCAACATTTACCCTTATTGACATGGGGAGCTGAAAATACTAGAAACTGGTAGAGAAATACATGTGCAGCACAAGTTGCAGAGTGTGACTGACAGGGCATTCCATGGATAGATATCATAGATGTTGGCTATTGTGCATATAACAGAGAAGAAATACCTTCATTCCCATCATGGGGATATGAAAGGGGAAACTGCCTCCCGTCCCATTGTACCATTGACAATCTCTTTGGAGGTTTCCAGGGGAACATTACTGACCAATGTCCAAAGAGAATGCTGCAACAGACGTGCCTGTGATCTGAATCAACAAAAGTAGCCTTCTTCATAATCTTATCTTGACAGCTGCTTCCTGTTATGGATGCACCACATCAGTGAAGGCTTGTTCAATTCACATCTGGATCCAAAGAGAGACTTTGGCATTCACATTCACATGCATCCTTATTCAAAAATAAATATGACACAAACACAACTGCAAAATATATGTGCCAAACATTACAGCCTTTATGATTTTTAAACTTTTTTCTGCAGTTCAATTACAATATTTGTCAGCCATCCTTGAACCAGCAAAATGTTATACTAGCATAACATTTCCTGTCCCTACTGCCACTCCCTATCCTTCCTCTGTTCTGCTTTGCTACTAGCCCTCACCAAATTTCAATAATTTCAATAATCATTTTTGATAGATTATATACCATTGCAAACTCCATCTGTCTGGCTTTTTTGTCTGTTTTTCAGAAGCGGGGTCTTCCTGAGTTTTCTACTGTAGAGGTCACTTTCAGTCAAAAAGCAATGGATGGTGCAACTTGATACTGTTATACTTTGATCTTGGAAGTCAGCCAGGATATGTTTTGAAGTCTTCTTTGGTTCTTTCTCCAGCATTTGAACTACCCTTTTGTTTTAATTGTTGGTCAATTTTTCTCTTGTGGCAATGTCAAGGCTAGTTGACTATAGTCCCATGGATCTTAAACTTGAAACTATTAGCCATTTTGGTCACAGGAAATAAGACTCAATGGAGATGGTTTTCTAGCTTTTCCTTTTCCTATGCTTGGTTATTCCTATCTTCCTTTCCTCATCAGACGACTCTCTGCTTTTCTTTTTCTTGTTTATAGTCACTGTGCTGCATACAGTACGAAGTGCCCAAGAATTTTTCTCCATTCAAATAGGCTGAGCAACTGATTATAAGATTGAAGACACCTGTGATTCCAGTTAAGGATTCTGCCTAACAGACCATTAACATGCAATGATGTATTTTAACTTCTAATGAGTACTAATAAGTACTGTATGCCCATGCCATTTTCATTATAAGAATATGCTAAGTCATACATCAGTTTCAGAGCATCTGCCCTTGGGACAGTGGACTAAAGAATAATAGATGCCATTTCCTTATATCACTTTCAACTTATTTCATGAAAACTGGTGACTCTTAAGAAAAAGCAGAGGGTATCAATACTTTTGGTCACATCTGTATATAATGAAATTTTAATAAACAATTCTAGATCTTCCTAGAATGTTTTTTTTTTTTGGTTAAATAAATAGCAACACTGAGAGTAGCTCCATCTGGAGAAATGGCTATATCCATATGCATGTTAAGTTTTTTCTAATTTGGCTTTTGTGAAAGGATTTCTGTATGATTAACCACATCAACTAATGCATCGATATTATAGGATTTTCTAATATTTATTATTAGAAATTTATGTGCAGTTTTTCAGCTTATTTTTAAAGTCTTCTTCCAGGACTGTATACAACACACTAAAATTTCAGAATCGTAAAAAAAAAAAAAAAAAGACAACACAACACAACAGTATAACAGTTACAACAAATTCTATGCATTTTACTCCAAAATAAAGACTCTTCCTCACAACCATGTTAATGCACATTCTGCCCCTCCTCAAGGCAGCAGAAAAGTAGGCTAGTACAAATTCAATTGGTTTTACCATGTACTGCCACAGGAACAAAAATAATGCTTTTCTGATTTTAATGTAGGGAATTAAAGGAAAGTGATTGATGGGTTCCTCTGACTTGGTTTTTGCTCATTAAGCATCATAGGTGAGTGGGGAAAAATACTAATTGCTTTCCTTAATGTGTGGAGGAAAGGGTTGTGAGGAAAACAGGTGCTCATTCAATAGATTTAACCAGCTTTCAAATTGCTCAAGTCATGGGCCACAAGTGTGAAAATGCTTTGCATCTGATATTAGTGATAATTACTAATTTTTGATCGAACATGATTTCAAGACATTGCTGCAAAAATAAAACTGTTGTGCATTTTATATAGAAGCCTCCAAATCCTACAATATTCTGCCTAAATTCTTAATAATTATCATTCACTTATAAAGCTATTTTCTTAGTTTAAATAAAATCTTAACTAGAAACTTACATTTTAGTCCTATTTATAGTTTATTTTATTTAAAATTGAAATTTTGACATTTTTAGTCCTCTTTTAGTGACTACAATTAAGAAAATTAGGACTGTCAATTTAGTCGCTAAGCAGAAAATTATGTGACTGTGACAGGGCTTATGATTTTGCAGTACTTCCCCTTCAGTTAAGTCAAGTAAAGCAGTCACTAAATAAATAATCAAATGCCTGCAAATTATGATTTTACCTCTACCTTCCAAACACAATTTCTTTTATCTTTCAAGAACTGAACATTTTTAACAAAATGAGTACAAAATCAGACTTGTCCAAAGTCCTTCAAAATTATAGTCTTTTCTCATGTTTTTGGAAAAGTTGGATACATTGGGATAGCTGGCTGATGGTTGAGGATTGTCTCGGTCTTCTATTCCTCCAGCTGGAGAGGGGAATGAGGGAGGAACTGTAGTCATGGAAGGAGTAACTTTCTTAAAGAAGCCACTAATTTTAGTTTGCACAAGTTTTTTTCTTTTTGTCTTCATATATTTCATGATAACACCTTAGGACAGTGGTTCTCAACCTTTTTAATGCCGTGACCCCCAACCGGTTGTAAGTCGAGGACTAAACCGGTCGTAAGTCGAGGACTAAACCGGTCGTAAGTCGAGGACTACCCAACCGGTCATAAGTCGAGGACTTTCCCTGCCCGGGAGCGCCGCGCATGCGTGGTTCCGCCCCCTGCACCGGCCGAGGCGTAGCTGGCAAGCGGCAGAGACGGAGCAGGCCGACCACCAGCAGGCCCAGCTCAAGGGAGGTAAAGCACCCGCCGGAAAAGGGGAAAAAAATGGCGGACAGCCTTGCTTGGCGACCCCCGTGAAATGGTCGATCGACCCCAAATGGGGTCGCGGCCCATAGGTTGAGAACCGCTGCCTTAGGATTTCATGCATATCCTGATACACCTTTCCAAAACGTTCTATATTTGGATCCATACTTTGTAATTTTGATAAATTTTGGTTAATAGCCAAGAAAACATCAGCCAATGCTTTCACATTGAACTTTTTGGACTGAATTTCTACATTTTTTTCTTTTTCCTCCTCTGGTTGTTCTTCTGGTTCCTCCTCCTCCTCTTCTTCTTCCTCCTCTTCTGGTTCCTCCCCTGGTGGTTCCTCCTCCTCCTCTGGTTCTTCCTCTGGTTCCTCCTCCTCCTCCTCCTCCTCCTCCTCCTCTTCCTCCTCCTCTTCTTCTTCCTCCTCCTCTTCCTCCTCCTCTTCTTCTTTGATCCTTCGTGCTTCCAATTCTTCTTTCAGTTCGATTAAATCTTCATTTGAAAGTTCTCCCTCAGTGTAGGCTATCAAACTTTTCACATCTTCAGCACTGACTTCTAAATCAAGGGATTTCATGAGTGTCAAAATTTCCTTATTTATTTCATCCAAATCTTTGTTATGGTCAACTCCTTGAAAATTATTTACCAGAGCAGGAAAACATTTTAAACACTTTTTCCAAATCCCTTGCATGCATTTCATAGTCACATCCTGCCACGCGGCTGCAATGTTTTTGATGCAATGGAGGATATTGTAGTTTTTCCAAAACTCACGCAATGTCACCCTCTTATCCTCCTCCATTACATCGACGGCTTTGACAAACATTGCACGTAAATAGTATGCTTTAAATATTGCGATAGCTCCCTGGTCCATAGGCTGTAAGAGAGGGGCGGTGTTTTTGGGTAGATAAACCACTTTTACATCTGGGTAGATATTGTGGAGATGTGGGGGATGTCCAGGTCTGTGGTCAAGGAGTAGGAGAATTTTAAAAGGAATCTTTTTTTGCAAGCAATATTCCTTTACTTGAGGTATAAAACAATTCATACACCAATCCTCAAAGAGGACTTGTGTCATCCAAGCCTTCTGATTGGATCGGTAATAAACAGGCAGTTTGCGCTTGCATACGTTTTTGAATGCACGATGGTTCCCCGATTTGTGGACCAGAAATGGCTTCAGCTTGAATCCAGAGACATTTCCACCCAATAGCAAGGTTACTTTCTCCTTAAATGTTTTATATCCAGGCATTGCTTTGGCCTCTTTATGGATATAGGTCCAGTCTGGCATTTTTTTCCAGAATAACCAGGTTTCCTCCACATTGAATATCTGTTCAGGCAAATAGCTCCCCTTTGCAATAATATCATCAAGTTCATCCAGGAAACGTTTGGCAGCTTCATCAACACTTGCAACTTTACGTGACCTGCGTGTGCTGTGGTAATTAAATCTTCGCTGAAACCGCATAAACCAGCCACGGCTGGCAGTGAACACTTCAGTACAGTCCTGACCCGCTCTCTCCTTCAGTGTTGTGAAAATGCTGCGCGCCTTTGCCTGAATGAGAGAAAGGCTAATCGGAATCCTCTTTTGGATTTGATCTTCAATCCAAAGTAGTAGTAGTTTTTCTGTTTCGTGGATGAGGCCTGTTCGATGTCTTGTTATGATGGCATCTGTTCCTGATGCTCCTTTAATTGCTTTTTTGATCCTTTCTTTGTCCTTCAGAATAGTGGAGATGGTGGAATGGGCCAGCCCTTCTTCTTGTGCTATAATGTTTACCTTCTTCCCTTCGTCATGTGCTTTGATGATCTTCATTTTCAAATCAAGATTGATGGTTCTCCTTTGCTTCTTCCTTCCTTCCTTAATTGAAGTGGAGCTCTTTCTCTTTCCTTTTGAAGACATTGCCAGCCAAAATAAGAGCCAGTTGCAAAGTACTGTAGATAGATAGAGACAGAACGGTTCAGAAGGATTTATCTTCAGTATTAGGATGGGGATGGATGGGGGCAGCAGTATTGTAGTGCAAAAATGTATGTTTCTTGTTTGCTAAAAATTTCTTTCTCCCATGAATGGCCACTACTAGCAGAAATGCATTTCACATTCACTTATTTACTATGTTAAATATTTGTTTGTATACCCCAGTTTTGTTCTTAACTGAATTCCTGCCCAGCTCCACCTGATCATTTTTTTCCCCTTAGTGTATAGTACCTGCAAGATTGAATCTGGTTCTTGATAATTGGCCAGATTGAACTGTGAATGTTGACTGTACATACAATCCATTTGTGAAGAAAAGCCAAAGGTTCATAGGAAGTTCAGGAGTTTAGAGAATAGACAGAATAGACTCCTATAGCAATATTGCTTCACAAGTATTTTATTCTCAGGTTGGTCTGTCATCTGCGTAAATCAGTTGTTTTCTCTCTCATACACACAAATCACTGTCACATATGGAGACAAGAGTGTACACTCAGAGTAGTTCTTGCCTAATTACCGCAATAGAGATCAGAGTCTTGGTCACTGAGCAAAGTGGTAATTAAACAACACCCAAGTGACTGTTTCATTTAATGACTGCAATCCCAGCACTTCCCATTGTGGTCATTTGATCTCATGAATCCTTAAGCGAACGGAGTCCTTGCTGGTCGTGGAGGGATTTTGGGCTCCATGCATGCTTGGATTTCAGCTGCAGAGGTTCAAGCAGGCATGGAGTTGAGTGACCTTCTCTCCCTGCTCTCTGGGGCTCTCCATGAAGGCGGGGAGACAGGGATTTTGGGCTTCATGCATACTTGGATTTCAACTGCCGAGATGAGCAGGCATGAAATGGCAGGGATCTTTTTCAATCAGCCCCCAGAGACATCTAGGCAGGTGGCAGTGATTTGCAACCTTTCCTGCCAGCTTCCCCGTTGACTTTCTGCAGAGACTGGCAGGGAAGATTGCAAGTGGCAATCATGTGAACACAAGGCACTTGGCAACCAGTCATAAGTGCGAAGAGCACTACCTCTATATAGTTCCCTTCCCGAAAAGTTAAGACAAGGATAGGGAAAAGGGAACAGGAAAGAGGGAAGAAAACTCAATTGAAATGAGGCAAGGAGAAGAAGGAAAAGGAAAAGAAGGAAAAAAGTCTGCTTAAGCATTAGGAAGCAGGTTCTTTTTTTTCTGAATTCAACCTTGAAGAAAGCAGGATTTTTTTTTTTACTTTACTGCAGTAATCAAACATGAAAAACTTTATTACTCCAATATATGTTGCCTTCATAGAGCTAAAAAATTGGATATCTTGCCTACACTGTATATGTAAAAAACTACTTGAACACATGCAAATTGATAGGCAGCTATCACTGAATACTGAGTAAAAATAGCCCATGCTTACGGACTGCCTCACGCAGCGACCTTTCAGAGTTACAGTGGAGTAACTTTCACATTATGATTTTCTATTTAGTTACCATGTTGCTTTAATTAGTGACCAAAGAGGAAATAAAATAAGCCCAAGTTATTTTCTACTTAGTGACTGCTGCTGGCCCCAAGTGTGGTCATTAAGTGAGAATAACAATGTATAAGAGCCAAATGCATGGGATTTTTTTAGATAAGATAGATCAATCCCCAAACAAAGGTTAGAATGTTTTATAACAGTGATGGTGAACCTTTTAGAGACCGAGTGCCCAAACTGCAACCCAAAACCCACTTATGCATCGTCGGGTGCTGGGTGGGTGTGGCCAATTGGGGGTGTGTGGCCCATTGGGTGGGCGTGGCTGCGGTGGTAGTGGAAGACTGGGTGGGACTAAAAAGTTCAATCAATCAATTCCAACTTTGCAAGATCTTTTTTTTCCCCGCGAGAAGTTGAAATTGACTGATTGATTGAACCTTTTTTTTTTTGCACATGGTGGCGGAGGCCTAAAATGAAAAGGTTTTATAAAACCCAGCTGAAGGCCTAGGACTGGGGCGACGATGCGCGTGCCCACAGAGAGGGCTCTGAGTGCCGCCTCTGGCACCCGTGCCATAGGTTCGCCACCACTGTTTTATAATTTATCTCTTATCTATAAAATACATCTGTTTTTATTTAGAAGAACTACAATACAGGTAGTCCTCAACTTACAACAATTCAGTTTTGTGACCTTCTGACAAGCAAAGTCAATGAGGAACCAAGATTCACTTAGCAACCGTGTCACTAACTTAACAATTGCAGTGATTCATTTAATAACAGTGGCAAGAAAGGTCGTAAATTGGGACAAAATTCACTTGACAACTGTCTCACTTAGAAAGATAAATTTTGGGCTCAATTGTGCTCGTAAGTCGAAGACTACCTGTACTTAATAATACCGTATTAGCTCTGCTTATCACTACCAAAAATGCATGCTAGTTGTGAAGTTTGCAAATAGTGATCATAAGTCTGAAGGATGCTGCGACTATTGCAAATGCGTGCCTTTATCGCAGCTATTTTTTTTTTAGTAGCATGGTAACTGTGAAGGGTCATAGCACAAGGCAGTTGGTAAGCAAGGCCTACCTGTATATTGTCTAGAGAATGACACATCAGGCTTTACAATATTGCTGTAAATAAATAAAAATATTCACAGCTGTAAAATGTGACCGATTTGTAAAATTTATTTATTCTACTTAACAACAAGTGCAACAATACTCTGCCGACGTGCATCTTATGCCCCTATTTGCCAGGATGGAATCAAGAAGGTGCCTCGGGAGGAAAAAAAAAAATCACCTAACAATTATGTCGAAATAAAAAATGCAAGCTACTATTCCTTTTCCAGAAGAAAAATATCTACAGCCCTGCTCCGTTCTGCCCACTTCCCTTTGCAAACAAACCTTTCTCCGGAATGACAGGCACCCACCCACCCCCCTTACCTGCTCTTCTCCCAGCCCTTCCTTTCCACTGCACACTCCCCTTTAAAAACAAAAATGCAATCGGAGGTCACGGCAGATTCCACCCTCCCCTTTAACATCCGCTTCTCCCTTTGCCGGAAGGGGTAATGCTCGTCGGTGATACAGGAAGCGGATGAAGCTGGAACGCTCTTCCAGCCGAGAGACTAGCGCACGAGGGGGGCCGGCTGGGGTTGGAGGGGAGGGGTTCAGGAGGGTCTCTTCGCCGGAGGCGGCAGGCGTGCGGGGCGCGGCGGCTTTATGGCTCGGAACAGGAAGGTCCGGGGCTGAACTCCCTGCCCGTCCATGGACCTCGCGCCGGGGGCGGTAGCAGTCACAGCGGCCACTCAAGGGGCGCCGGGAGAAGACAGGGCAACGGTGGAGAAGCCGCCGGTTATCTACACCATGGAGAACAAGCCCATCGTGACCTGTGAGTGAGCTGGCAGGGGAGGCGTGCGGCCGGGGGCGAGTCTGCTGCGGCAGGGTCGTTCCGTGCATCCCCCGCCCTGGGTCACCGGCGAGGGGCGGGGATCTTTGGCGCCGGGAAAGGCGGATTTTCTTTGCGCGGGGGAAGGCGCTCGTGTGTCGGGTGTCACTGCCTGGAGGTTTGGCTGCGGGTGTCCTGCGAGGTGTCGGGTCAACCTGAATGGGGTGGACCGGAGAGCCGAGGTTTGCTTCAGCCTATAACACCGTGTACCACCGAGGCTCGGCTTACGGTACCGACGGTGCACGGGGGCAGCCCTTGCCCGAGGCTCTTTCTCTTCAGTGCTTGTTCAAATATTCCGCACGGGAGGCACTTCTTGGAGAAAAATCTATTAACACTTATTGTACTCGGATGTCAAACGATTCTACACGTGTCTCTTTTAGCTAGAAGGATGGGTACATAATCAGATTCATAGGAATCCCAAACCCATGGACGTACCGAATATCTCAGCTTCACTTTTCCTCTCGGAGCAAAACAAACCTAGGAAAAGTGGATTTGATAGAAAGGGAGTTGCTAAAGGAATTGTAGAAATCTGGTTATGGGAAACTCAGATGGAAAGCAGAGAGTTCATTGGCCCCAGATCTCTCAGTTGTATGATGTATACAACTATGGGAAATTTGCATTATCAAGCCTTTTGCTATGTGCTATTTATTAACACAGTTGTTTATTTACATATGAAAGTAGTAGGCTGATGTCCTAAGAAATGACAGGTTATCCTAACTGGGCTACTGTCATTTGGAGGGCTATGTTATAACTATTATAATGTAAAAAGATGGAAACGTTAAGAGACTTTTCCACTTTTCAGTTTCAAGGTAGAGTGTTTTTATACCATCAGTTTTGCTACTGGTGGCACATTTTAAAGAGATAAACATAAGCAATAATATAGATATATTTTGAAGCAGAATAAATAATTCTTAATTTAGAAATATAACATTGATATATATTGAAAGATATATATTGTCCCATCATCTATATTTCTTCAAAATGAGCAGAGCAGAAATAATCTGAGTTATAGGAATGGAGTAAAAATACATTTCTAGCAGGTTTTCATTCATGCAGAGTATTCAATCTTACCATTTTAGCCCTGATGTTTTATAATGTTAAGTTAGTTTGTGATATGTGTGATGAACAATAATAACTTGCCTAAAATGGGTGATGGAAACATATTTCTTTGATTACTCTACTAGCTTACAATATTTGTAAGCTTATATTTATTGCCTTCTTAGTAGCAAGTCTACTTGACAAAAAGACTGTTTCACAGACATAAGTATATTGAAAAAAAGTCTTTACATTGGTAAAAGGGCTTCATATTATTTCAGCAATCCTTAACTCTTTAAGGTCTGCAAGGGAGAGAATGTCACTTCAGTATCCCATAACTGAGAAAGATATAGTGCATAGGTTTTCTTCAATTACCTGTCAGGGTTTTGTGATGCTGTCTTTCCTGGCTTCTTGTTATTATTTTTGGCCTGAACAT